CAGATAGACCATTAATTGATAAACTTTTTTGTGGTGTACGTGAATTCGCTAGACATTTACTTCCGGGTCTACCGGAAGGTCAAAGTAAGGTGAATTCAAAATGAAGACAGTAGCCTAAAAACAAAACAAATCAAAATCATAAAACCTAGTGTGAACATGTACCATGTTACAGAGATGTTAACAATTATATTACGTCATCATGACATCATCAGATAGCAAATTACAAGCGTTTTGACAAAACAGTTTGAGCTGTATCGCTTGAGTATCGTGTTCATTTTGTCGTGCGGTTGTAGACGGTGCCTTGAAGTTGAACAACATTTCTTATTCCCGTGCACAAAACCGCTTGGTGTTACCGGAAGTGCAATAGAAGAAATTGAATCTAACTAAAATGGAAAGCATTTTACTACAAACAAATACATTATGGAAGTGTTAAGTGAGGAATGCCAAACACACACAAAAAACATAATTTGACGTCATGCCCGAAACACGCCCTCTAGCGGAACATCAAAAAGAGTTTCACCTTTTCAAATTTTAAAACCCTCATTCAAAATTCTACCAAATTGCCCCTATATATTCCGTGAGCATCCACAAATGAATTTGCAAGGTTTCATAATCATGACGTCATCAGACCGTCATCAGGCCTATCAGCTGCAGGAAGCGCACATCCGGTGCTGCATGGATGGCTACTCAAGCATAGAACCAGTTGGACCTGATACTTGACGAAGCCTCTTAGTTACGTCGCTGGAGTTTATGGCAACAGAATTATGCTAATCTCAAAATAAAGTGGCTTTTATGTTGTGTTTTGGCCTTTTGCATGGGCAGAATAAACCCTACACTAAGGTTACGACATTGGAAGAAATTAACGGAGCGTCTAACGTCGTTAGAGTTTATGAACCATAATTATGCTAATCTTAAGATAACATGGCCTAAAATTGGCCTTTATGGGTTTTTTGGTCTTTTGCATGGGTATAATAAAATTCTGCACTGAAGTTATGACAACGGTAGATTTGACGGATCCTCTTACGTCGTTGGAGTTAATGCAACATTGCTAATCTTATCATAAAATGGCTTTTATGTTTTTTTTTTGTCTTTTGCATGGGCATAATAAGATTCTGCACTGAGGTTACGAAATTACGACAGAATAGTTTGTGGCTAAACGCTGTGTGGAAAAACTAATTTTCAGCATTCAGATATGAGAGGAAAACTGGTGAGGCGCGATTGCAATCGGTCTAGGGGGGGGGGGGGGGGCACCAGCATACAAATTACAATGAGGGGGCACCAAGGTCAGACCCAACAGCATTTCCCCCAAATCTCCAGACCACCGCAAGTGCTTCACTTGATTTGCTTATCAGTTTATTCACATTTCATACATTCGTACGGTTATTTGGGTAAATGAAAAATAATTATCTCACAAAATACTGGATCCAGTCGCAAGGTCCGTTGTTTATCTGCTTCGGTATTCTCATATTACGTAATTCTAGGCACGAAGTACATACCTGAGCTTGGACACGTGCATTACTGTCAACATCAAAGTCAGGCACCAGACTAATCCTTGAGATTTGATGAACGACAAACATCCCCCGCTGTAAACTTGCCGTCATGAAAATGATGGAGGCCAAACAAAAGGCGAACATTACAGTCGACCTTTGGCGCATGGCCCGGCCGAAATTGCGGAACCGCATGGTGAGACACAACACAATGCCAGTAACCGTTCTCCAACCAAGTTCACGCGCAAAATGTGATATTTACTGTCTGCTAAGATAGTACTTTCTTCATGATTCTTGTTTTGTAGCTGTTAACGTTATAATGGAGTGTGTCCTTGTACTTTGCATTAATAATGTACGTTTGATCATGGAGAAATAAAACACACACAAAATGCTGGCACATATGCGTTGGAAAGGCGATAGCACCTTATTTATCAACACCTTACCGGGGTGTCTTGAGCCAATAAAGCTAACTTAACTCCTCGTATAGTACGTTCCGTGGTAGTACAGTTACAGTATCTCTACAGTAGTACAATGCCGTACGTGTACAATAAGTAGAACTTTAAACAATTGAATCCTGGTAGTACTCTGGTACAGTTTTTCCTTCATGAGATCCGGTCACACAACATCGCACGACGATCACATGATGACGGGTTCGATGAAACTTGGCACCAATTGAAGTTCAATGCAACAGAAAATAAAAGAGACTGTGGGACTGACAGCTACCAAGCTGCAAAAAAAGAAGAGGAAATCGTCTTCTTGGTGTTATCATAATATATCCATGGTGAAATGATTGATCAGACAACCAGCATTTTGCATGCAGTCATGATCGGACTGTTTTGCAACTGGTGTGGCAAGATCCCCGCGCCGTTCCGTGTATGGAACTTCTCAAGCTCCGATTTCAAGTTGTCAGAATTGACCACGTCGCACGCACCGTACCACCGAGAGAAGTACAATGCCTTGAGACGCTGCTGCTGCTACGATCGCAGCGTGGAGTCTGGATGTGGTTCTTCCATCATCGTCCACTTCCTTGAGCTTGAGAGCTGCTGGTGCCGATGCCGGTTGCGTACTACAAGTGGGAAAACGTGGTCTGTCTTGAAGATGTCGGGAGCACAGGGGCGTCTGGAAAGAACCACCGCAGGCAACCCCTTCAAGGTTTTGTATGACCTTGCGTCGTGGCGACGGTATATACGAACGTCGGTAATAAACGACCAAGCAGCTGGCAAGCACTTGTTGCTAGATGACGGGTAGTAGTAGTGTACGCCACGACTGGTTGGAAGTCAAAGGTTGAACCACTGCACAAGGTTTTTTTCGAAGAATTACTGCACAATATCATATGTGCACCAATGAAATAGGAAGCTGTTTGGATCTGCGGTTCCCAGGCTTTGGTATGGTGGACGGTGTTATCGGAAATGTGTCGTGGCCTTGCACTCTTGCAGAAATGGCGTGCACCTGATAAGCTCTTGTAACGAACTAAATGTGTTAATTGTCTTAGGGCCTATAATCCAGAATTAGGAAGAAGTCTTCTTCATGAACAATGCACACGGTCAATCTTAAGTTCCTGTTGCACGGCGTGTGGCGTCCTTATAATCCTTCCTGTTATTTTGTCGGTGTCAAAATGATGTCACCAACGTCAACAATATCCTCAGATCAGTGAACTGGGCCAGTTTGGTCCACAGTTGCTCTGTGTTCACATTAATAGCAATCCAGCATGATTACAGACGTTTCCAGGCATAATTCCATCGCCGAAATGGGAAGATTTTTTTGTTTGCTTGCTTGAGGTCGAAGTTTTTTTCTTCAAGGTTGTATAACATTAAACAGACCAACATTTTATCGCATGGGTAGGTAGTCAACCGTATACATCATGTATTGGGTGGGATAAAGTTCAGCATTTTGGCTTTATGTCAGTGTTAAATTACACTGTGTTGCTAATCTGACGTTCCACCACCTGAAGCTTTGTTATAGACCTTGCTCTATGGTTATAATTAGGGCATCGATCAAAAGTCCAAACATATACATTCAGTAGAGCGCTTTATGATCCATCAAAAGGATGGTACAGCCATGAAGACCAACCTGGTACCTGAAGCCTAGAGAGTCCCACCATCTGTTCCTTGCTCTATGGTCCCACCATAATAGGGCCAACTTTTGGGAACTCGTTAAAGGGAATATACAACATTTGCAAACATCGAAAAATAAAACTACCAAGTTTTTGCGAAATACCTTAATAGGGTGTTGGTAAATGACAGTCTAAAGCATCCTGTAAAATTATGGCACCTGGTATACTGTCATTTTCAAGAAAAGTGGTATTTTTGTATCAATTTCCAACGCTGATCGGCCGATCAGCGTTGGAAACAACTGGCTTTTTTTCAAATACTGGCCCCAATTGACCATTGCACTTGTTTGCAATCGATTACAAACCCATGAACGGGTACGAGCCAGCTAGACTGGTTCCCTGACCTTACAATTCCCCAATGTATGTTAACTGCTCTGTTTCTTCTTATATGGAGTCAGGGAACCAGACTACAGGAAAATGATCGTTTTTCTTGGTTTTAGTAGCATTTTCAAACCCAAAACCTCCAAAAAGTCAGTGTAACTATATTTGCTTTATATTTCCAACCCCCCAATTCCATCCATATCTGAAAATTACAGCAAAAGCAAATGATGTATATTCCCTTTAAAACAAAGCCATAAAATGTCCTGTCATGACACGTCTTGCATGGATCGTGTTGCTGTTCTGGGCAGGTGGTGGCCGTACTTTTGCAATATCTCAGCCTGGCCTTGTATAGGCAGAACATAATAATTACCTTTTCAGTCCCACAAGATATCGAATTCCCCAACTTTGCTGACGATGAGCTTTTCCCCTATTATTATCACAGTGTACGCGCTTCCGGCAGACATAATACTGCGATTACATGTACATTCCAATTCGAAACAACATTCAACACCTGTCCGGTGTTCCAGCATGTGGCACGTGTCAAAGTACTGACCTGTCACCTTCCAACAGGTCTACATAATGTTGTGTGAAAACATGGTTCATAACAGCTGCGTGTTACACTTTTATAAATAATCTTTTCATATCAAACTGACACGACAAAATGTGGGTTATCCTACGTTCGCGTGGTCAGTGCGTGCACAGGGTATTTCCTGTATACACTCATTATACTGTGACCTATTTTGCAGAACTTGGAAGAGAAACCTCGAAGAAGTCGGCCTGGATTCACAAGTTGTTTGAAAGAAAATCTTTCGCGGATATTTATTCGAATTGCTGTTCAGTTAGTTCAGTGGAAATAGCTCGTCTTTTACTTCAAAAGCGAAACAGAAAACTATGGGGAAACGTGGCGAGTTTATGCTTTCAGATCTAGACCGAAACAGTGAAAGGGAAATGCCATAGATATCACAGAAGAGGCAGAACTGAAAAATTAACTTCAACATTCAAACTCATCTGAACAACTGTAATTTGTGACTTAAAAAAAAAGACAAAATAAAATATTGGATGGTCGGAAAGAAAACGTTACAGAAATTAACGAGAAATATTTTATTCCTTCAATTCACGATGGGGCTGATAATTCACACCATGTTAATTATTGTAACATATGCAGGGTGGCGATCACATGCTGCATTTTTCAACAAGAACAGTTCAAGCGACTGTTTCGTCCAAGCACAACTACCACAACAGATTAATAATGTCAATATTGCGATAAAGACATCGCTCCTCTCAAAGGTATTTGAACTGTAAAACAATATCTGGTTCACCTCTTGTAAAGCAAGTCGAGTTCGGTCGATGAATTCCCAACTCATTTCAGGGGGTCTTAAACTTCTCTGTTATTTATGTTATGTTTCTAAAAGACTGACTTGACGTTTTCATGATTGCCAAGTTATTTTATTTGTATTAACCCCATTCCCACGCTAGCGCGCTATGGAAATATTGTGTTGGTATGACGTCAAACTCAAAAAAATACTTATTGCAACACTAATTGAACTTCAATGCATTTCCACAGAAAACCATGAAGCTATAAAAATGGGTCTACCTGCAATTACACGAAACAAAGAACGATATTAACAGCGCCCTCAACAGTGCATCCAGTGCGAAGGTAGATCACGCAGCACGTCTCGTTGCACGTACGGTATTTGTAATAGAAATTAAATACTGGCAACATCCTGACAACAGAGGGCCCGTTAAATTATAAAGCTTTCAGCTACCAGTCCCTTTATTATTTGACATTTATTTGTATTACAGTTATACAAACACAAAGGACAGCATATTCAAGATGTTCCGTTAACTCCAACAGATAGTGACAATATAATTAATTTACTGCAACAAAATATAAAAATTATATGGAATACTTGAGCACTTTCCTCCTAAGTCCTCCAACAGTCTGGGACATGTAGTTTCAAAACTCCCAAAAACTGAGGTGATAAAAACTGTTGTAGTCATGAAATCGGTGCTCTTCTTCTTACACAAGCTCAAACTACCGTGGCCCAGTTCATAGTATGACACTCGTTCCAGGAATCTTGTCCCTTGCCTTCAATGCAGGGTATCCTGCAAGATTCACTTGTGTTTAGTTCAGTCCGTGATGGCAAGTTTCTAAAATCACGCAGATTTTCCTCTTTAAGTGCCACAGATTCTCTTCATTGAACCTCCATGCTTTCCTCCTCCTGTTGTTGAGCTTTGAAATTCTGAACGCTGATCTGTGTTAATTTAAAGAAAGATAAAAGGGAACGGGAAAAAGCAATTAAGATTGGTCCAGTCACATCTCTGAGTAATTCCACATTTTCACAATATTCTTAATTTTGAAGAAAACACAAGATACATACTTCAAATGTTTCCAGGACATGCTCTGATAATGCTGTTAAATCTGACAGGCCTTTCTTGAAGACGTCAACTGCTGGCAGACCTGAGAAGAAAAAAAACAGTTTAGGGAAATTATGAATTGATTTACTAACTATCATTTATTACATTATAAATTACAAATTATTTATTCAAAAGAAGGACTATCCCTGAATAGAACAACAGAAACACAAAATGTCCACCTTCATTCAAACATTTATAATAACGTGAATTTCAAGCTTCACAGCTACTTGATATTGTTACCCTTTTTTTTGAAAATGGCAAAGAAGAGAAAGGAATAATGTACCATTTAATTACAGTACACAAAACATCATTTATGTACCTTTTGTTTGTATTCTGAGATTTACTTTCTTCTCGGAAGGGTGGGGTATACTGTAGCCACAAAATTCAACATCAGGACTTGTAGGGAAAAAGAGAAGAAAAAAAAGCAAAATCAAGAAAAACATTAAAAATCAAAGTTTTGAATTTGAATAATGGCACAGAATTGTTGCAAACACAGTAAAATAAAATCAAGAAAGCATATTTTTCAGAAAAGGAAGGTAAACATGTTGAATATTTGACCTAAAACACTGCAAAACAATAAATTTCCAGGTTTTAAAAGAACTCACTTCTTCATGATCATGTATCTGAGGGCATTTCCCAGGGTGTGGTCCTCGTTATGAAGAACAAAGGTCAGGCAGGTGTTGTCACCTGTTAGCTCAGTACCTGCCATCTGAACCTGCAAACAAAATACGACGGATTGAGTGTCGCACTTTTACATTCATATAAATGCATGCATAGCTGTATGAAATACGGATTTGGGATAAAAATTAAGGTTAAGATTGTATCATTAAGATATCATCAATCGTTGTTTTTTAGGAGACTGGTAATCACTACATCTTTACAACAAGAAAAGGCGATGTGTTCTCTGTATTTTATTTGTTGACAAAGCTGCTGTAATCAATTCACATATGACAAATTTGCTCAAACTCTCAAATTCACAAATTTGCTCAAACTCAGGTATAAATGCATGTGAATAATATACGTGTATGTTAACAAGTAGTCCAGTAGTAGTAACTGTAAAAAAACAACTCCCCACAGATCTAGCCAAATAGCAATCTCAAGTTACATTGCTAAGGTACCTCCAGCTTTTTTTCATTTCGGGTTGAAGTTTTGTGATTTCACAACTGGTTGTCAAAGACAATGAATAGGGAATTGATGATGATCATTAACGGTGCATGTCAACAACTCCATCCATGATCCAACATGTGAGACAATTAACCTATCGCGGTAGAATCGCGTCAACGCAGCTTGTGAAATATGGTCCAGTTCCATGATATACAAATGGACGCAGAACGTGCAAAGTCCGAGACAAACACAGTAATGCACAAATTCCATGGGGTTGTCTAAGGGGCATGGCCAACTACTCGCAAACAATGATAGGTAAATACACTCAACACAGTCTGACTCTGAGACTCTGTGAAGCCACCTTGTGTTTCAAGTTATTGAATTATTCTCCCCAATGCAACAATCCCACACCACACCAGAAGTTCAACCCGACCCCCGCATACGCCTGGCTTTTATGCTCAAAGACCCCAGCCAGAAAACGAGCAGAAACAGAAATTTTCCTGCATGGTTCCCAGCAAGATTGTGCACTAAGCCACTAACATATCCAAGAATCAATCACGCGAGGGCGCACTTCTATAAAAATGGTCAAACAACGTACACTAACTTACTGACTAACTATGGAGGAATAAGAACACACTACACAGTGACATGGGATTGGGAGACAGCTTTTCTTTCGATCATTCTGTTACTGTCATACTGATTATGAAATACTTTTTACCACACTCAGTCGACCAGAAGGCTCTTTGACGTCCGCCATTTGTTCTGTTTAATAGGTAGTACACAACGTGGACTCAGAAATCAGAAAACAGTGACCTTTTTCCAACCACATCCACCAGCTCGGTGTACACGGAGTACACGTGAAATTTCTGTTTGAACTTTAACCCCTGACTGGTACAAACCAAACATGCAACAGCCGTTACCGGACCGGTACGCCAGGGCGTTTAAAGGTCAAGGTTCATGTAAATAATTTTATAATCACTCGTTTGTGCACGATTCGCACGCGCCACTGTGATTGTCGAGCTGTCTCAGTCAGAAACCAAATTATCTCAGTTTTTAAAGGCTGATGACAACAGTTATGATCCCAAGTTATTGAAAATAAATTAACAACAGAGGGTAAGTTGGGACGTAATAATTATAACCATCAAGGGTCTTCACGACCGTTTCCTTAACAATAAGTCAATGTTTGGCGTTACATCCGATCGATACGGCGCGGCCATGACGGCAGACAGACATGCATGACATGGCAGTGAGGAAGAACAAATGTCCGATATTTTAAACAGAATTAACAGCAAGAAATTTGTAGTAAAGGAATACGGGGAGTGTACAAAAAGTAGCTACCACATTCCCTGCAATATCATGGAGGAGTCAATCGTCTTATCAAGATTTGTGTGTGTGTGAATTTAAGGCGATGATACATGTAGTATTTTTCTGTCTGTTTATCTTTCTATGTCTCGTATTAATCTTGTTTGGGGAAGAATGAAGAATCCCGCTCAAGGTTTTGACAGTTTCATTCCATTAAAAAACAATAGTCGATCTGAAATGATTATTTTCATCAACAGGTATGCCGGAAGAGGTTCTGAACAAAGTATTGTGTTAGAATGTTGGCCAAAGCGAGTAAACTAGATGTGGTCTGGCGAAAGTTGCTCCTGACAAAGTTCTTCACAAAAGGATGGGGAACGGTCGACAACTTAAAACGGTATGGTATACAGAATTTGGCTGTAAGTTGTGGTAATCAGAACCCCATAAAATAAAGGGGTCAACCTGTTGCCGTCTGGCTGAGTAAGTCATTGATGACTGATGGACTGATTATAAAATACTGTTCTAAACTGGGACTTTCAGGTCCAGTTCTAGGTGCATAGATCTAAACAAGTGTAGTCTTTTGTTATATGTTTGTAGGTAACAATAACAACTTTTATTTTTATGACATTTTTTTCATTTAAAGGGGCAACTGTATGCAGACTGTTCAAGGACCAAGGTTACATTCAGGGCTATGGACTGAGGCCATGCCTCACCATGGTGTGTGACACTGACCTGATAAAAAAACCTGATTATCTATCTATTTATTCTTTTCTTTTCTTTTTTTTAGGATGTGCAAGTTTGGTCAAGTGATTTCTGATCGTTCGCACTGCAAGCACCTTGTGGACAAGACCTACCCGGTCTTCATTGACAAAGTATGAATACTGAACAGTAACTTTTGTCAACACAAATGTGTATTAGAAATTCTGATCTCAAACTCATAAAATACCTAAGACAGTTTACCCATTCCTACTGAAATAATAATGTATTGTCTCATTGAACGATATTTGTCATTATCACAGGTAACTTCATGAATGCCCATGCGATTTGGGCAAATAATTTTCAAGAGTATTGTTTACTATTTCAAGAAACTAAAATGCATTCACAACAAATGAAATAGAGGAGTCTGAGTTACATTTGTTTTTCTCTTCAGAAGATGCCAAACCCATTCTTGTCATCGCACAAATCAGTCTCATAATTGTAAGAATATCAGTTGATACAATTTCATCCTAAAGAACATTAATGGTTTAGAACTTAATGCACTGTACTTAAAGTTAACCGTTTGCAAGTGGGTGTTTTTCTTACAAGTTTGGTTGTCATTTTCTTGTACAGAATGAGCAAAAGGGCGAATGCAGAATCTTGGAGGGGCATTTTTTGTCACCGTTTGCCAAGTATATGAAAGGGATTATGCCCAAAGAAGTTGAGACTGCAAGGTAATTATTATAAGAATTTGATTTTAATGTGTACAAACAAAAAAATGTAGTTGTATGACTTGTGTTTTTAAAAATTAATCAATCTGTCTATAACGTACCACTGAAGGAAAAGATAATTTTTTGTTAAGAACGTAATGACAAGTTCAATGGCAAGGTTGTTCAACTGTTCCCATTTTTCCCCATCTCCCATTTTTCCTAAGACATGATGAAAGATATGAAAAAATATTTTGACGACCGAAGGAAATAATTGACCATCTTTTAAACAATGATCCTAAATTCTGTCAGGTTTCAGGTTGTTTTGCCTTTGAGATGGAAATCTGAGAAGAAGCCAATTTGTATCCATCTGGCTGGCACGGGGGATCATGTGAGTGGCACCCCTCTTTTTTTACTTTAACAGAAGGGACACACAATACTTTGCATCATCTAGCAAGTCTCTTCTTAAAGGGAATATACAACATTTGCAAACATCGAAAAATAAAACTACCAAGTTTTTGCGAAATACCTTAATAGGATGTTGGTAAATGACAGTCTAAAGCATCCTGTAAAATTATGGCACCTGGTATACTGTCATTTTCAAGAAAAGTGGTATTTTTGTATCAATTTCCAACGCTGATCGGCCGATCAGCGTTGGAAACAACTGGCTTTTTTTAAAATACTGGCCCCAATGGACCATTGCACTTGTTTGCAATCGATTACAAACCTATGAACGGGTACGAGCCAGCTAGACTGGTTCCCTGACCTTACAATTCCCCAATGTATGTAAACTGCTCTGTTTCTTCTTATATGGAGTCAAGGAACCAGACTACAGGAAAACGATCGTTTTTCTTGGTTTTTATAGCATTTTCGAACCCAAAACCTCCAAAAAGTCAGTGTAACTATATTGGCTTTATATTTCCAACCCCCCAATTCCATCCATTTCTGAAAATTACAGCCAAAGCAAATGATGTATATTCCCTTTAAGGCTACATTTCAATTTCACAGTTGAATTCCTCCGTAAAGCGTCTTGCACAAATCCTTATATTCTTGGAGCTGAAGTTTACTTGATCAATTTTACTGCTTGTTTTATGAGGAAATCTTTACATTATGATTAGGAATCCATCCATCAAAACTTCCAGATTAGACTGTTTACAGCAGTAAACTTTCAAGAAAGATTCGAAAATTAATTGTTAACTTTTTTCTTTTCGCTTGATGCAAAGGGCTTTTGGAGGCGAAGAACCATCATGGCCAGGCCTCTGCTTAAGGAGCATGGCATTGCATCTATTATACTCGAGAATCCGTTCTATGGATTGCGAAAACCCAAAGAGCAAAGGTTGGTCTGCGTTTTATTTCCACTAATTAAAATGTAGATTCAATATTGAAAAGATGAGAGAAGAAGTTTTTTTCTCTTATTTTTTTTCATAACATATTCAATTTTTACAAGACTTTAATATTTTCAACGTTTTCATTTATCTATGACATTGTGGTTAACATGAACCTCTTGTGTGCCTATATGACTGAGAATTTCTTTGTGATGTTTCATTTCACCAGATGAGCAGGGGTAATAATAATGATGTACTGTATGTATGGTAAGATTCTGTTTGGTGGATATTTGCACTGTATAAATCCATATTATGACTTCAAGATTTGGGAGATGAATTAATTTTCTGTTGACTCTGGTTTATTTTCAACAGTCGTTCCAGCCTTCTCAACGTAAGTGACCTTTTTGTGATGGGAGGAGCATTGGTGCTGGAGACGTTAACGCTCTTGCACTGGTGTGAGAAAGAAGGCTACGGACCGCTTGGTGTATCAGGAATATCCATGGGAGGCCATGTAAGTGTTTACACGGTGATTTGTTTTTATTTTGTCTTTGGAAATTTTGAGTTTTTGTTAGCGAAGTCTTCTTACAAAGTACAAAATTTTGTCAGATAGGTGGGCATGGACATCCAGGAACTGTTCACATTATGTACTTCAAACTCAATGAGTCTTTAGTCTTTAGTCGATTAAAACTTATATGCAAACGAATAGATGTTTTCCTCAGATGATGTAATCACGCCCGTGCCTACAAGTGCTCAAGCTCGACATTTCCAGTGGAAAAAAAACCCCAAACAAACAAAAAAATAAATAAATCTGATTTTTGTATGACCCTGTTGTCATCTGTTGTCTAACTGACTGAGTCTTGAGTGACTGAATGACAGCGACACTGAATGACTGTCAAGCCTAATCTTGCCTGGTCATCTGTTACATTGTTGTCTTTCTTTTTCAGATGGCTACTCTTGCTGCTACTAACTGGCACAAGCCCATTGCTCTCATCCCGTGTCTGTCCTGGAGTAATGCCACACCGACGTTCACCCAGGGTGTCTTCAGCGGTTCAATCCCTTGGGAGACCCTGGCATCCGAGTATGTCTTCCACTCGGAATATGAAGCCGAGATTCTGAGAAAACTCATGAAGTGCCCCCAAGTAAGTTATATAGCCAGAATAATAAGTGTAACATAGAATTTCTATGGCACTTATTCTGGAAGCCATTCCAAGGTGCCCACCAAGATGTTACTGAAAAGTAAATAAAACCACAGTTGACAGGAAAAGCTAGCCCCAAAAAAGAGAGATATATTGAGAGTGTAATGTTTCTTTCTGGGATCTACTGGTAACCAGTTCTGCCACTGCAACTGGCTAGGCAACTTTGGAAAACTGAAAACCTCCTGCTAGATGACCTTGAGCTTGGCGTGAAACTGTGAATTTGTAACATAAATTTCCCAAAAAGTGAGCACAACTCTTCTTTCTAAGTATATGCTGGACGGCTCAGAAACACCAAGTTTTTATATCGTAAAGCCTCGGTTACGTACAGGTTAAAAGATGACAGTTTTCCAATGATTTATTTTTGTTTTTTTATTTATAGTATGATGCCTACAGACTTGGCCAAGAGTTTGCAGCCAATTTTCCAGAAAGCATGGAAGAACTGCGAAAAGTCACACTGAAGTCTGGGCTGAGGTCCTCACTCCAAGACCAACCCAAGACGGAGCCGGCAACGGCATCTCCAGATGGAGCAAGAGATGCAGTCTCCATGACGGACAACAAGGGTGATTTAGAACTGGACCAGCAATCGTCCAAGTGCAATGTGGCCAGTCAAGTTGAATCGGTCCCAAGAGAACTGAACCGGCACCAAAACGACAGTATTCCTGAAACCAGAAATGGTTTGGCATCTCCCAGCGACACTTGTCAAACATCAGAAACAAACCTTTCAGAGATGACAGATCCCAATACTGCTTTGGATGCAGAAAACCAAAATACTTTTAGGACAGAGAATTCTTCAAGAGATGTTTCCAGGAATTCAGTAGGGAGCTTCTCAGAAGATGCTGGCCATTCTTACTTGGATGAAGAGTCTTCTGAAACGAACACACTTAAACGAAACCTCAATGAAACTTCATCAAATGCCCATCCAAGTTTGGATGCTGTTCAAGGAAGTAGCAGAATAGATGTAGACCGCCAAGTTGATAGGTCGGGTCATAGCAGTGAAAAAGATGACCAGAGGTCAAAGTTGAACACCAGTGTCAAGGATGAAGGACAAAGGAAGAAATCCAGTCGGAAGCGAGACAAAGCATCAAGCAAGATGAAGCTTACTAAAGAGGAGTACGAGGCAGTGAAAAACGACGCTCTGCAGTTCATGAAGGGGGTCATGGATGCGGCTACATTCGTTGGGAACTTCTCCAAGCCTGTAGATCCTGAGCTCGTCTTTGCTGTCTTGGCAAATCAAGACGCTTACATTCCTTGGTATCAGATGCCAAGCTTGAAGGAACTGTGGCCAGGCATGGAGGTAAATTGGAAAAAGGACTCTCTTAAAGAATTACTTTTTCTTCCATTTTGCTGTGAGGAAAATTTACTGAAGTTTTAGAACTGTAATCCTGAAGGAACAGTAATCCCGAAGGATCTAAGGATATTTTTTTAATTATTATAAGTCCACACATTTGAGATTCCAGAGTATTCTTTCAGGGAATGTTTTGGGCTTGGTCATACAAGTCTGCGTTGTATAATCACAATTCCTTGAGAAAAGTATGTGTGTTACAGTATTATAGAACAGCAGTTATTAAAACCAAAAAAAACCCCCAGTTTTGAATGATTGTTACAGTACGTGTTACAAAATTGAAGCAGCCATTTTGAGAATTGTGATTGTCACCCACCAAATGTTTGTATACTTAAAGTCTCCTTTCTCCATTTTGTGCTCCAGGTACGATATGTTAACTCGGGCCACGTTGCTGCAATCCTTTTCAAACAAAATCACTTCAGGTGAGTAATCAATCTTACCATATACCCTTGTTGTAAATGGACTGTTCATCAACCCAAAACTGAGTACTTTTGACCGATTTCCTGCCAAACATACACACATTTCAGTTCAAACTACATTGTTCATACCAAGTTTAACATTGGCATATGGAGACTACTGTTGATGCACACAGTGTATTTGACTTGCAATATAATTCATCTGAAATTGTGTTTTTTTTCCTACTTACTGATTCCTAGGCGTGCCATCCATGATGCTTTCCAGAAGATGGAGAAGAAGTACCATGGAGTCTTCCCCGAAGAGTCGTGACCCCAAGAAAAACCTGTCCCTGTTTAAAAAAAGAAAAAGATGAGTTAGTTCTATAAGTACGTGGTTACAGCCAAGTAATTTATGTCCTATGGAATTTGGCTTCACCTGATTCCATAAGCGCATGTGTAATTGCAAGCCAGAGGCAAGTAATTAGGACACAGATTCAGATTTGCGTATAAAGATTTACTTTGATTTAATGAAATTTCAAAATGTTTGGGAATAACAATGCAAGCAAGGCCAAATGATTTAAGTAAGTTTTTCAGTGTTATAACTTATGCTGTTTGTACTTTATGATGTGTTGTTTTGATTTTTGACAGTGGCTGCTGTAAATATATCACATTTGTCCGTTTATCCATTACACAATTCCTTTGAGTAACAAGAGATCAAAAGATTAATCAGATATTCCAATAAAATGACTACATGTGTGAATGTTTCAGCTCTGTCTGTATTCAGCTGCCAAAACATTCATACTTTTCCCACCGCAATTAATAATACAGATTCTTGTCACCCATTGCTTTTTTGACAGTTGTTTTGTAAGATTTCCTCTGTTTAATGTTTTCATGATTTCATGCTGCATTTTTATGGAGGGCTGCCTCCTTAAGTTGATTTGATGCATTAATAAGAGGGTCACTGATCAGTACAATTTTGTTTTAAACTGTCAGTAAAATAGCCAAAATCTTTGTGAAATTGTGCATCTTTTGAGGTCGGAATTGTTTGACATTTCTCATAAGTTAGTAACTCTATTGTGCAGTATGGAAGGACCCATTATGACTATGTAGGGCTTGGTGTCCCTAACAATGGACACAGTTTTCTGTTGAACCCTACTCCCTACTTGGTTTTACTAAGTAGAAGACCGCGTCCATCAAAATCAATCACTCGCTTTGCTTCACATAATGCTTCAGGACCAAATCCGTTGAAATCCACCACTGGTGCTTGTGGATTTTGATGGGCTTGGTACACATGGCTTATCTGCCAAAATCCCCCAAAATGAGGGGATGGATTTTGATGGAGTTGGCAAGGTTAGGGTTAATTACTGCATTTCCATCTTGGATTCTTGAAAGCAAAGCACAAATACGTGGGATGTGATTAATCATGTGTATTTCATAAGAATAACACCAGTGGATGAAGATGTACATGTCTAACTCTTGTCATTGACGTCGGATAATCCTATACTGCACATGTTTTGGCAATTCCATTGTTTCTACTGCCTCTGTTACCGACTTTTACAACTTGAGAAGATAATGTCTGTACAAAGGTAGATTTGCTGTAGACTTTTTTTCCTCTAGAAACTAGAATGTAATGATAGATACTGCATAGTATGTACAGTTATGGAAATAATGTTTTCATACTTGCAAGTGAGGTTTTACTTAAGCTTTAATTACCATTTGTCTGATTATTTCTTCACATAGGACAAGCAAATATATCAGCTCTGAAAAGCACCTACCAGAGTAGGAGAGCTTTGTATATTGTCCTTGTAACTTTTCATAAAATGCGGGTCGCTAATTATATAGAGAAATACTTTAATGTGAAACATGCTGCAAGTTCATCTGCCCCTTAAAGGAAATAGATTTGTTTGACACCTGCTGGATTTATGTTTGGTTTGAAGCAGCATGTAATTTTGTTGATCAACACAACGATTTTATAAGTTGACTTCCGCTCAGACGAAGTAGTAGTGTGATAAAAAATTCATCCGAGCATTATTAAAACGTATTACATGTACATGTGAAAATAATATACATTTATTGGTTCTGTGTCATCCTCTATTTCAAGCTACATGTACATGTTTACATAGCTATTCACCAACTCGGGATTTTTCTCCCAAAATTATTGGGTTGCACGCGGGTTTTTGTGTGCGTCATCACGGTAATCGTGTTATGAAAACAAAATTAATGTTCAGATGATATTCTATTTTGAAGGGCATTTTCACGTGCTGAAGACGCTAATGTTTGGAATTTATTTACTGTCTTGGTTCTTAGTAGGCCTACTTCTTGATGTTTATAAACTTTTATACATCACAAGGAATCAACAGACGAAATTTCAATTTCATACAACTGATTTTTCGTGAGTCAATGGCCCCACAACTAGTGTGATGTTGATAATTATGCATGCTGGTCATATGCGGCTTGTAGAGGGCGCATATCCAAAACTATAGTTGCATACTTTACATGCGTGGCTGGACACATACGGCTTGTAGAGGGCGCTCATCCAAAACTATGGTTGCATTTTTTACATGCACGGTTATGGGCTGGACATATATGGCGTGTAGAGGGCGCACTTCCAAAATTATGGTTGCAATTTTTACAAGCATGGCTGGACATGTATGGCCTGTAGAGGGCGCACGTCCAAAACTATGGTTGCATTAAAAAAGTTAACTTTTTTCAGATTGTACATTGTACTTTTCACGTTGAAGACACGCTATTGTTTGGACAATAAACTCGATTGACCGACCATTCTTCATGACATTTAAGAAACTTGTTTCAGAGATATTAACAGGTAATTAAATTAAGTTGTGTCAAAAAACAGAATTTCTTGAGTTATTGTACCCTCAAACTCAAAGCGTGTGCTGTTTTTGTATCATCAAATGTAGTTTTAATTCGGATTATACATTTTTTACACTGAAGACGCGCTGTTTTTGATATTATTAACTTCATTGCTTAATAATTCTTCTGCATAATTAACAGGCTACTTTTTATGAGATCACACGCAATCAAGTTGTCCGGATGTGTATTAAAGTTGTCTGCGATTGCAAAAGTGCGATTCAGGGGACAAAGTTGTCAGCGATTTTGGGACCCATCTATAGTTTTCACGGAAGTGTTTTTCGCGGACAAATTCCGACAGACCTCTTTAATAGAACTACATGAACCTCGACAGACGGAATTTTAACACAACAAATATTTCTCGAGTTACTGACCCCACAAAGATTCTGTTGTTTATCGTTCATTGCGCGTCAGTGATCACCAGTCAACAACGGCACCAAGATTTTGTTATGGCGCCCTCTATTAGCGTTACAGACTCCACAGTTATTTTGTTATGGCGCCCTCTATTTGCGTTACCGACTCACAGTTATTTTGTTATGGCGCCCTCTATTTGCGTTACCGACTCAGTTATTTTTGTTATGGCGCCCACTATTGGCAAAAGATTTTCACGGTTATTATGTTATGGCGCCCTCTATTTGCATTACAGACTTCACAGTTATTGTGTTATGGCGCCCTCTATTTGCATTACAGACTTTAGTATTTTCTTACAGAAGCTAGAAACGATAAAAAAAATATAATAAAACCGATAATAATAACACGATAACAGAACCTAGACGGCGGATTATCGCGCACTTGCAGCAACAACGTCTCGACCCAAGACAAACTTAGACCTCATTGTTAAGTCAGTTAGGATCACGTCTTTACGGTCATGTGACATCATCTTAAAGGTGCATTTTACTGACCTCATATCTAGAGGACTGCATGCCCGAATGGGTTGGAATTTTGCATCCCTATATAGACACAGATTTGTGAAAGGTGAAAATGGAGGCGACGTCAACGTGACGCCATCGTGTGATTTTTAAATATATATAAATTTATAACATTTTCTTTGTGCATGTATCTAGCGAATAAAGCATGCTAAATACAAACATTTTTTTTCAGAACGTAATTTGACAGGTTGTGTTCCATTGCATAGAATTGTCAAAACAAACTACTTCATTATGATGACCTTAAAAAAATCGTAAAACAATACGTAAGACGTGACGTCATGAACTTTGATACTTCAACTGCCCTAACAGATTCGGCGTAGACAAGACGAAATTGAATACACCGGGTCGAAAACGTGCGCTCATTTTTGTTTGAAATTTTCTGACAACAGACGAAATTAAACATTGAAGTGCACTAAATCGATGTTGCTTGACGAAATTGAATATAAGAATCGGTGAATTCTAACGAAAAATGATTTTAAACCTATATTTAGAGATAGGCCGAGAAAATAAGGGTTTCCACTTTGCGGTTACTTTTTTTCAGTTACAATTCCCTAGCATGGTCAATTTTTTTGGAAGGGCTCCCTCAACATCAATTTAAGGCGAAACGAATTGTCTTGAATGTAAAAACAAATACTGAAAATAACTTACGCTTATATCGTTCAACTCGACGCTGGTATGTCCTTTGCTTCCGGCTTTCAGAGAACATTTCGACATCCAGGACGTTCCAATAGTCACAAAATAGGTTTCTGAAGGACACTGCAGTTCACGTTGCTCAAAAATATATACGAAGGACTGGAACAGGGGACTAGAGATGTGCAATTACAACACACAGGCTCTCGCATTGAAGTCCAACAACTTGCCACGTACTCGTGAAGGAATTTTAATATGTTGATGGTATTTGGCATGAACGCACGCATACCACACTTACCGCGGATAGGTACAAAGCTTTTTTTTTCAAAGGTGGGAGATCAACGACTCAATAATTACATAATAGATCTGTGTTGTCGGAGCGCTTTAATAAAAATAAACATTTAATGTTCTTAAAGAACAATATTATACCTTGTTAGTTACAAGGCGAGGAAAATGCAAAGAAGCCTTAATTACTACGAACTGGAAGGGAAAACAGATGGATTGACCCCTTTTCATGATTTCAATAATTCAGAAAGGTCCCCTACAGTAGGCCGGGAAAGGTGTTAGAAGTCACCAGCGGTCAGTTACTATGCATAGTGGTTACAATCAATACCCTTTATTCCTCACTTTCGAATATAAAATTTTGTTTTCTTCAAGATGTGTCCTCAGAACATAAAACTGTGTTTACATAAATGTAGAATCTTTCCATAATCTGCATGCCTGAAACATGTGCATGAAATATATCACCAATATAATCCAGATGTGTAACTTTATGAAAATTATATTGAAAGTATGGAATAAAAACAAAGGTGAAAAAAATAAACCAACACATTTGAGGCAATGAGGGCAAATTGTAACATAACATGTAGCACGGTGAAATCACATTGCATCAATTACTTTCAAATTCGATCCAACTTCTATGTGTCGCCGAAGTAAATTCGTTTTCGCATACATTTTTATGATTTACAGAGAATGGGCCTCAATTAGAATATAGTGAAACCTTTTCTTGCAATTATGGGTACATTGTGGTGACAATCGTAATACTCTTTTGAACAAATGACTAAACTTTTTAAAACTTATTGTTTATTGACAAACTATCGTAGCTTTTGCTGTTTGTAAAACAGTTGCATTATTTAAATAAAATGTAAATATGAAAACGGGACAAATTGGCAAAGTGTCGGCCATTGAGGAATGGTTCAAGAAATTTGTTCATGGCAAAAGTAAGACAGTGCAGTGTGTTTGGTATGAATCACCAACACTATGCAGACTCCCTACGTGAAAATCGAAGCTATCAAATAAAGACGGGGACCCTGGCAGAATTCGGACGAAGTCCAATGTTAGGCCATCAGCCTCGGTCCAAAATTTTGGCCACCGGTATCAAATGAGGGGAATAATCGTCATAGCGATTTTTGGCAAGGTATACACTTCCAGAGTTGGAAAATATGTGATAGCATTGCAGCGGTGGCAGCTTTTAAGGTGTTATCACCCTTTTTTTCAAAATGTCCATCAAAATGCTTGTTACCACTCTAGGGGCGGTATACCTTGCCCATGCGCACTATAATCATTCATACCCTGATTTGATACTGGCCAAACCCCCAGGCTGATGTTATATTTATAGCCTAAATGACAGGTCAAATTTGAGCCCAGTCCATTTTTTGACAGCAGACTTGTTACAGGCAGGGTGCGTGACTGGCAGGATTCGAACCTAGTCCATGACATAGTTACGTCCGACTGAAAGAATCCATCAAGAGTGTCAGATATCAAACCAAGTCTGTGATTTCCAAACATGGGAATCTGGGTAAAAAAAAAGGCCCTAGAAAGGATTTGAGCCCAGTCCATGATGTGACTACAGAATTGTTACAGGCAGGCCTCCCTGGTAGGATTCGAATGTAGTCCAAGTTATTCGTCCAGGTTTTACTTTATTCTAATGACAAGATGTATCCCCAGAGTTTGAATTCGAACCACCAGGTTTTGAACCTAGTTCATTAGTTGATAACATCCAACAGAAAGGATCTTGGCGGGCAGGACCCTCGCCAGAATGTGAACCTTGTCCAAGCTTTTAGCTACATCCGATTGACTGGATCTAATCCCAGGATGTGGAACCCCTTAGCCATGACTGCCGCTGCAGCTTCACATAGAAGAATCCGACTCATGTTGACTTTCACAATCACACCTTCAGGGAGAGAAAAAAAATGATTTTAGTGCTGCACTACAAAACACAATACCTGAAGAGAAAGGTCAGACAAACTGTTTATTATCCCTCAACCTCACATCAAGAGGTACATTGGATAATAGATTAACCAAGATCCATGATGCCACTCAGGCAAAATTGTCCTAACCATAACTGTTTGATAAATTAATTGATGGGTAGATTTTGAATCTTGTAAAGTGGCAAGAACTGTACTCAAAATGTATAAGTAGGTTTTTTTGTATCAATGCTATTTATTCATGACCTTGCTGCTTACTTCAAGTAGCTCCAAAATGAATGCAATACATGTACACCAGTTCAGTATTTCAACTGCGCATGCACACCATGACATGGGTTACGGGTCATTCAGGATAATCGAATGCTCATCGAAGAGGCATGAAGTGCAGGAAGACGGACGCACGACGCTTGCGTATTGATTACAAGCGATTTTATCCCAAATGACTTTTGACATGGACTACTTTATCGAGAGACCAAACTGGCTTATTACAATAACTGAAGTGCAGACGTCTTAACCATAGCTGTTCTTGAAAAGGTTTGGCAGATAACTGGAATCTTGTACTGCCGCAAGAACTGTACCCAAACTTTCATATAATCAATACAATAATCAATGTTTTTCAAGCATGATCTTGGCACTATGCTTCAAGTAGCTCAAAAATGAGCACCATTACACTGATTTCACCCACCAGTCTGCCTGTCCTTCTCAACGCAGTAGCAGGCATCGTAGAACTCGGTGAACGTCGTGGTCAACTCGTACAGGTACTCGCAGAGCGTGTGCATGAGCAAGTCGTTCAGGATGCGCGAGACGATCTCGGGAAAACGCGACAGGCACTTGGCTAGCTTCCACTCCTTTGCGTGGATCACGTCGATGGGTGTAGAGCCTGCCGCTTGCAGCACGGCTGCATCGTCGACTTTGGCCAAGCGAGCGATGGACCTGATAGACAATTTTGGCACATTTGAATGGCAATTACATTTTCAAATCATGATACATGTATGTTGATTCAATACTCATTTCAAATTTAATGAAGTAAAATAAATCTTTAAAGGTTTACTAATGTAAAACTTAAATTAGTTGTTGCCTTTTTTCAACCACACAAAAACTGCTTTTTCAACACATTCTATAACTATCCCGGGAACTATAATAAACAGGTTGAGGTTACGAATATTGCAAAAATAAATTAAAAAAATTGTGGTCTCACTTGATTCTGGTGTATGCATAGAGAAGATACACAGCTGTGTTTCCTTTATCGTCCAGCATCTAAGGAAATAAAATCACGGTTCCATTTTAATCAACTTTGATCACACGAGGTTCTCAAGCTCTTTGCTAACGGCAAGCCCATATATCATCAATTCCAAATATCTGCTATCGGTGGTCCTTTGTATGACCATAATTCATGTTTGTCTATCCAGATAATGAAAACCCAGTTCAATTTAAAACTCAGAAGTGATGCATCTGCATCTCAGACTACTGCAGGGGGATTTCAAAGGATGCAAAAATGAATTTGTGAAGAATTTTTTTTTTTCTGTTTTATTCAATTTTTTTCAATGCGCAACAAAAGGGCCTCCGTTTATGATTTTGCAACATTTCTCCCAGCAGCTTGAAATTCACCAATTGAAAGGTGTTATGTGGAGCTCAAAGTGAGTGTACACTCAGAAATTATTTTCAAAGCAGTAAATAATTCTTCAGCTTAACAGATAGGCATACAGCTGAATAATTAAGCCAGGTTTTGACGTCATAATGATAGACAACTATATTTGAAAGTTTCTGACTACAGAAAATCCTCACGATAGTCATAGTTTACCTTGTCGAATGAGAAGACGTAGTCATTGACGCGATTGTGACACAGATCAGCATACTTGATACAACCATAGGCCACAGACCGTTGGGCTGCTGACAACTCCTCAGCTGTCAAGACCTATCAGTTATACAAACAAATACATCAGTCAACAACAAAGAATCTCAAATAATATGATTTTTTTTTAAAACCTCCTCTCCTGAAAGGGTATCATATGGATCCAAGTAGCTTAAAAACTTTATTTGATTTATGCAAATATACTTAAAAAAGATTTGGTTGACAGTTTATACACAAGTTAAAAACATGAGAGTATATCTTGAAATGGAATGTTTTCTGAAATACTTTGACATTTTCATACCTATTTGTCCGAACACTCGGATGTCTACACTTCCAAAAATCAAAACACTTTTGAGACTGGGAAAAGGACTTTATGAAAACACTGACAAATAAACGACCTTGTCTCTCTCTTTCTCCTTCAGTTTGTCCAACGATCGTCTCATTCCCTCATCCAATAGTTCGGCGAGCCGTACCGTGTCACCTGATCGAGTCTTGAACTTCTTCCTGTGAAAGGATTTAACAAGAACAGTTCATATAACGGAATTCACAGGCTGTGGAGAAAACAAAAGTCAAGGTTTTTAGGGTATTATAATTACTTCTAGGGGAGTGTGGCCTAGTGGTTAGGGTTCGTGACTCATGATCAGAGGGTCAGGGGTTCGAATCCAGCTGCTGGTCATATGTGGTGTCCTTGGGCAAGCCACCCCCACTTGCCTCTCTCCACCCAGGACTATAATGGTACCAGTATTAGCTGGGGAGTAATCTGTGATGGACCAGCATCCCATACAGGGGGAGAAGAAATATTCTCAGTCGTTTCATGCTACTGAAACAGGAGATAAACGCCGGCCTGATCTGCCACATGGGCTCATGACAGACTTACTTTTTACTTTACAATAATTACTTCACTATCACCATTGAAAGCAATCCATGAGAAAGGTTGTCCCTGCATAATCCTGCACAATGCAAATGGGCTGTAAATCAATCACTGGTTATGAATTTGTACAATTGAAACATAGGGCCAGCTTCATAGACCTGCTTAAACAGAAGACATTGCTTATAAATATTTCTGTACTAAGAAAATATAAACAATTAAGGCGACCTGAAGTTCCGATCTTAAAAAGATCTGTTTGAGAGACAAAACGATCGAGGTACAAGAAACGGACATGTAGGGACTCGCAAGCATGCAGGTTTGGGAGGAGAAACACAAAAGAGGTATTAACCAGTTCGCGCCGGAGGCCGTGTATGCGCGCAAAAAATTTGTGGTAATCGGAACGGATGACAGAAAAACATGCAGGGAGTGAGAACGGAAATATCTGTCAGTGACCTGCTCGCAGCGAGCGAGGCCGGAAATATGAGTGTGCTGCCCGAGTGTGATGGCTCCAACCCGCCTGACTTGAGGTTGAGTGAAAAGTAATCCTGCGCCTCGTTCATTCTTGTCAAAATATTCCCGGCGTGAACTGGTAAAATCTGGGGACATAACAATGTGGGTGAAGATCAAAGGAAAAGGAGTAGAGGAACAAACAAAGGATGGGTTAAGCAAAACTCAGTTGGGAACTCATCACACAGATATTCTGGTTGGTGCTCTTAAACTAAGCCATTTTGTTCTGCTAAGCACATTTTTTTCAGTTGAACTACTCCACGAAATCAGCCCCTGCTCTAATTCTTACTTGTCTTCTCCTAAGACGACTCCAAACTTGATGTGTTCCACCCGCACTCTAGCTGGGTCGTACCATCCTACTATACGGCCGCCTGCGTAGATATTCTCTAGATGTACACTCTGTAAACAGAGGAAAATTAAACCAAAGTTGGAGTAATGTACTCTGTACATTAGTAAAGCTCCGTGGTGAAATTTGCAGAAGTTTATGAGCTGAATTACAGAAAAACTGCTATTGGATGTGCAATTTCAGCTTTAGGCCTATCTGCACTTGATTATGGGAAAAAAGGCAACAATTTGAAAACATTGTAAAAGGGATTAACTTATCACCACACAACAAGGAATCAGTGATTTCTATGTTTTTTTTAAGGGAGGAGTGCGCTTGAAACTGGAATGTATCCGATGAATAAGGATTGTCAAAATATTGATGGCTTTGAAATGCATTTGTGCTTTAATACACCTAATAAGTTAGCAATGGAATCCATTAAATGTGTATACATTTTCTGTTTTCTCAAAATGCGTAAAAACAAATGTTCCCATGTACCTTTAAGACTACATCTGTCTTGAACGCGAAGTGGTTCCACCTGGGAATGGCTTCTCATTTTGTACAAAAATAAGTCACTTGGATGTAAAACATCATTCAATGCTTTCCACTATTCTTACCTGTCCGGCATCAACAACATAGAGTATCCAGTCAGCCTTGTCCACAAAGACTCGATACCTGATGCAGGCCATGTCTGACGTATCGTACGTGAACCCTCCGTCTGACTTGACAATTGTCAAAGGCACCTTACTGCTGTCTGTGAACATTATCTTGCGGCCCTCGTCCAGTTCCAGAAAGCCTGTTGGCCAAGCAAACAGCAGTCAACGAAAAATGTCTTGGATAGCAAAAATTCATTTATAAAACTGCTTTCACAATAGCGCAAGAAAGCTTGTTTCACACCAACTGATGTATAAGTTGGGAGTAGTTTACAGGTACTGAGTCTAAAAATAAAAAGGTTCTGAAAACCAGAGATGTTTATGGAAGGTTTTGGACGGAGTGTGCGCTCTTGACGGTTTTTCAGTCCTCCTGATGCAGTGAGCGCAGAACCCTTGACCCCGCCCCAAAACCAGTGTTCGACTTTAGCGGTAGCCCGCTTGCCAAATGCTAGTCAAATCAGCGGTGGGCTAGTCAAACCATTCCTTATTAGTAGCCCGGCTGGCGAGTCAAAAATTATTGGGCTACGGCAAAAATGAAAGGACAGGAAGAAATAAATCATTAAATTCAGAGAGCAAACCTGTATCAATTTGTGTTAAATTTTTTTCACTGTTTAGGGTTAAATTATTTGATCTGTTTATTACAAACATTGACAAGATTGCCTCAGGATTCACGTTTTACATGTATGCACATTGTTGTTTGTGAGACATGTGGGCCAGTGAAAATGCCCGTGGGCTAGTTAAGAGTCTGTTTCAGTAGCCCGGCTGGCTAGTGAAAAAAAAAAATAAGGTCAAACCCTGCCCAAAACTCTTGCCACCTGATAAAGGTCAGAGCATTTTAATACTGGGTTTTGCCCTTTATGGACGTACGTTATAAGCATTGAGTTCAGCTTGCGAGAAAACAAATCAAAAGCTTGCTTGATTGGACAGGAACCCACACCCACTAACTCCTGCTAATACTAGCGCTTTCTAGTCATGGTTACCAGTGCAATAATACACATACAACAAAATTCAAAAAGGCATTTGAGCATTGTGGCTGACCTCTGCTTTCCAAGTCCTGGACTGTTTCCACCATCAAGTCTTGGTAGAAGGATTCCCCGCGAGGGATCAGATCCTTAATGTCCAGACGCTCATAGATGTCCTCAAATGCTGAAGTCAAGATTAACAACAATGTATAATTCAGTAAAGTCAAGTAAAAACAACATGACTAGAAGAGATGCCTTAAGCTGAAACAGAAGGGATTCATCATCAATCTCAATTTTATAACACATATTCTCCATCACAAATAAAGGAGAAAGTGAAGTATTCAATTGGATTCTCATTTTCTGACAGAAAAAAATACTGACTTGGAGGAAGAGAAATTACTGCTTTTACATTATTGAAGTCCTGTATGTGGTTTTGAAAGTTTTAATAATAATAATTTAATAATAATCATCCTTACTCGCAGCTGAGAAGCTGAATTGGGAAGGACGCTGCTACAACGTAGTCGAGCCGCTGGCATGTAACGGCGTCTTTGGCAGCCAGCCATACGACCCATATAAGACCACGGAGCACTAGAAATCGAAAGGGTTTGACTTTTCGGGAGGAAACCGGAGGGCCCGGAGAAAAACCCTTGAGGCACAGAGAACCAACACACAACTCGCATATGGTCCTAGCTGGGAACAAACCAGGGCCACAGTGGTTAGAGGCGAGCACTTTACGCACTAGCCACCCATGCCACCCATTAGTAGCAGCCTAACTATACCTCTGTATGAGATGTCACAGATTAACTGCCATGCTTTGTGGATATCAGGTTCCTTGGCTTGCAGCTGGACAACCAACGAGTAAGCACGCTTCTTGAACTCGGCGTCCTCATCAAAGCGAACTTTGGATTCCTACAATCCATAACAAAAATACACGGAGTCTGAATAAAATGAGACATCTGAGTTACTGCTGCCTGGTGAGTAATTCCATGAAATGATCTCGAGATCAAATCACAACTATGGAGTTCTATCAGATGAGTGTTCGGAATTATTAAAAGTCATCTAATGTCCATCACAAGTCATCACAAGTCCTCCAGTCCCAAGTCAAGTCACTAGCTATTCAAATGAATTGTTAACAAAAGCGTTCATCTGTTAATGCTCATCCCATGAACCTTATTACTTGACTTGAGAAAGGACTGGTTATTTATTTTTCAGTGGACTTGTGATGGACTCACGATGGACTCTGCTACAACATTAATGACAAAGAGAAAGATATGATAGACACTTGGAAAGCCCATCACAGGTTTTCAGTTTGATAAAAAAGTTACACGGTGCATAATTGATGCAATCTGCATGTCAACCATGTGGCACAAGTATGAGTGGTCACATGACACTATCTACTGTTCCTCCAAGGACTGCACACTAATTAGGTTTGTTCAAGAAGCCTAGTGATTTGAACAAGGCACTCGACTATGGCTACAATGTGAATAGGCTCTAAAGGCTGCTTCAGAATTACATGTAACAGGCTATGGCTAGTTTGCCTTTATGGCAAGTGGCTACATCCGCTTCCATAGGAGCATGTGTAATGACGAACCTAAGTAATTGGGGTTAGGCCTATTAAGACTGACGTACCTTGTAGAAGGCCTGTAAGTCTGAGATGGGCGGGGATTTCGTCAGGTAGTCAGGGAAGCGATCCTGCAGGTGAGCAATGAGCATACCAAACTGGGTCCCCCAGTCACCAAGATGACAGACCTTCTGAACATCATGACCTGGGAGGAAATCAATGACAAATTCACTCATTCAATTATTGACCAGTAATGGCTGGAAATTGTGTTGCATCTCAATCATGACCTTTGTTCACAGAGTTGTACAATCGAGTCAATCACAAGTCAGTGGAAAGTCACTTCACAAGTCTGGTCAGAAGTAACAAGAGATGAACAGTGACAAAGACATGACTTTGTCACTGTTGTTTTAAATAACTTGTGAGTTGACTGGATGAGTTGTGGTGATTTGTGATTTGACTTGTGATTGACTTGTGATTTGACTTGTGATTGACTTGTGATTTGAGTTGTGATTTGACTTGTGATTTGACTTGTGATTTGACTTGTGATTTGACTTGTGATTTGACTTGTAATTTGACTTGTATTTTGTCTTGGAATTGACTTGTAGTTGACTTGTGATTTGACTTGTGATGGACTTTTGATTTGACCTGTGATGGACTTGCAATTTGACTTGTGATTTGACTTGCGATTTGACTTGTGATTGACCTGTGATTGACTTGTGATTTGAGTTGTAATTTGATTTGTGATTGACTTGTGATTTGACTTGTGATTGACTTGTGATTTGACTTGTGATTGACTTGTGATTGACTTGTGATTTGACTTGTGATTGACTTGCGATTTGACATGTGATGGACTTCTGATTTGACTTGTGATTTGTCTTGGGATTGACTTGTGATTTGACTTGTGATGGACTTGTGATTTGACTTCTGATTTGTCTTGGGATTGACTTGTGATTTGAGTTGTAATTTGACTTGTGATTTGACTTGTGATTGACCTGTGATTTGACTTATGATGTGACTCGTGATTTGAGTTGTAATTTGACTTGTGATTTGACTTGTGAATGACTTGTGATTTGACTTGTGATGAACTTTTGATTGACTAGTGATTGACTTGTGATTGGCTTGTGATTTGACTTGTAATTGACTTATGATTGACTGGTGATTTGACATGTGATGGACTTGTATTTGACTTGTGATTGACTTATGATTGACTTGTGATGGACATGACTAAAACTCTGATCGTTTTACCCCACGTTCTCAGTCATCTGCACCAGAAACCGAAAGGTCATCTACAGGCCAAAAGTCTACAGAATAAAATTGTAAAGTTTCCCCCCAATAATCTCACAAAAATCACATTGTCAGGAACCAAAAATTGTGTTTTTAACTCTGTATTAAAATCCAAAGATATTTACAAAGATTAAACAAAAACCCGGACAGAGTGTAATGTAGTTTTTCCCATTACGTAACCCTCAAACGCCTTTATCCCTTTTACCTGCAAATTGTAAGAGTCTGGTGATGCTCTCGCCGATGATGGTGGACCGCAGATGACCCACGTGCATCTCCTTCGCAATGTTAGGTGAGGACATATCGATGACCACCTTCTTCTTGCGGTCAATCTTGGGAGGCCGGACCCCCTTGGTCAAGATATCACTGATGACCGCGGAGATGAAGGGACGCTGGATGTGGACGTTGATGAAACCTGGGCCGGCTATCTCAACCTGCATGTGGACGAAAAAGTATGCAGTATGTTGAAAAAACGAGAGTTGCAAAGTAGTCACAATCATTAACAAGTCGTTCTCCAGTCCACTAGCACTCTATTCAAATTATCTGAAAAAAAAACAAAGGCATTTCTTGTCATGGTTGATCCTCTGTTTCTTGCTTTTGTGACCTTACGTCGGATTTGACATCTGAAGGACTTGTGATTTGACTTGTTCTGTACTTGTCAATAATTTGTGACAGACTTGTGACAACAGATTCATTATAGTTTGGACAAATGCTTTTTACTCCAAGCTTTTTTGTACTAAGGTACGAACACAAAAATACAGAAGGGACTCTGTTATAAGAACACATACCTTCTCTATGATCTTGTTTGATGGCATATTCTTGACAATGGCTTGGGCAATTTCATTAGGTGAGATCTTCCTTCCAACTGCTCGGAGTTGCTGGCGGAGAACAAAACACACAAAATCATGTCATTTGCACTTTTAAATGTTTAAATATTGGTCTTCTACAATAACAAATGTTTCATTACTAACAGATAAAAATGAAATATAACTAAAGCAGAAAGACTGTGCTATGCTCAAAATGTGCTTACAACTGCACATGTATAGAGATTTCAACGATTGCTTCTCTACTTTAGCAATTTCTGCCGGTAAAGCTGTCATTCATTTTACCCAGTGCTTACTGCTTATGTTTAAACAGACATTGCCATAAGCAGAACACCTCTCCTGAAGACGGTCAGAGCATACTGACCGGAACGTCGAGTTTATACCTCTGGTTCTTTTCAGAACCATTCTCTTAGTTGAGAAATTATTCGCACATGGTGTTTCCGCAAACCTTTCATTATTCAGAACACCATGAGTTGCAGCCTGAAATTATCAATGGGGGAGAACAACACTCAACTCTACACAGTTTTTAGGTATACATGTATGGGTGATAAGCAATTGGGAATGATTTGCATTTCAGCACTTTCATTTCGTTCTGGTGCAGGACAAATTAATACAACTTCTACTCCTAGTAAGATTACTACAACTACTGGATGTATACTTAGTGCTGGTATTTCACCTGTGCAATAGCCATAGCGCTGTTGCACTGGTAGTCACCAAAGCGGTCGTTCTTGCTGGCCTCCACAGCCATGGTTGGATTAGCCAGATCCGGGAATGCCGACATGATGGCGAAGGCAAAGATGCCCTGTAGCTGCTGGCTGATATCTGTCATCACCGTGTCAGTTCCGGTGATCCTAGTGGATTGCTTCTCCTCCTCCTCAATACTCTGTGAAGAAATGTCGAAAAATGGGCTACGTTTCAGATCAGTCTCACCAGGTTTATTTCTTTCTAGGGAGGACAGAATTTAAACTGGTGACTTTGGACAAATTTAAGAGTGGTAAGATTTCCCCATGTGAGTGGGGGATATTAACCCTAACTCCCTAGGCAATTTTGCTAGGATGTACATGTAACCTCAATCCTGCAAAATCCTCCAACTGCCTCCATGAAAGAATCCTCCATTCTTTCTTGAATGTGGTCCTTGGAGGGGTGACCACTGCCTCAGTCCTGCAAAATCCTCCGGCAAGTCAATATGTTGAGGCAGAACCGGTGACATCCTGGAGCAGTGCGGAGGATTTCAAGTATAATCTTGGCCTAAATTTACGCGCGGCTGAGCATAAACAACACAAAGTCCGGCCCAAGACCTTGACACAGTGCATTTTTCGAAATCGGCAACACACTTTTGCCAAGTAGCCTCGATCCTGCAAAATCCTCCACTTTGCAAAGAGGATTTGGGAAGGTTAGGGTTAAAATGAGGGTAAAATGTAGTATTCTGATGCCACTTTTTTCAACAAAATATAACTGCAATGAAGATCAGTCATTGGAAGTACATATGTATGTTGAAGAAACATTATTTTTGGGCTGAGAAAAATGTCATATTTAGTTGGGAAAAAAATTACTCCCTAAAGAAAATGTTCATGAATACCTGTAGACTTTGAACACAACCAACAAAAAATGTCAGGATGATACTGTGTGTATAAGTGACTTGTAGCTCATATTAGGTTTTGCCCTTCACCCCGACGCAAAATTCCATCTTATGACTTGTGTCTCATAATCTGATGATCAAAGACATGGACAACTTCATAGGAGCAAACACAGGGTTAGAAAGATAAGTTGGTAGAGCATTTGAACATTGTTCATGAGGTCCCAGGTTCAATTCCTGTTTGAGTCAATCTCTATGCTCCTACTTGAGTTTCTCTCCTTCAGTCCTTACCCTCAGTAGGTGTGCCAGACGATACTTGAGCTTCTGGTTCTCAGTCCTGAGTTTATCCAGCTCTGGTGATGAGGAATCATTGCCGTCGTTTATCTCTCCATTCTGAAGTTGGAGAATTTCTTGTTTCAACTGTGCAATCTCTGCTTCCTGCGACAAAAATGGTATTGTTGGTCTGAATTTGAATTTCACATGCGATGGCAAACATAATTTTAATAAGTTTGCTTGTTTACAATTAATTAATTTCATTAAAATACCAATATCTTTAAAGGCAAGCAGGAAAAAATGTCACAGGTCTTTTACAAGTACTGTGTAAACATTGTCCCTGCATGTACACATACGTAATAAAATACATTCCCATTATTAGAGTTTTAGCTAAAAGTTTAAACAAATGAGTTGCCCTTCTCACAAAAAGAAGGCTCTGCAAATAACAGTGCAAGTCTCATGCAATTTGATGTAATGGGGATACAAGAGCAAATATTCAAACAAACATTTTTAAAATAACAACTGTATTGCATTGATGAGTACTCCTGCTTTCCGGGTGAGCTTGAAAATTTTTATGAAAAAACACTAACCAACAAAAGTAAAAGTTTGTTTTGCTTGTCTTGTCTTGTTTTGCTCTTACGTTTGTTGTTTTGTTTAGCTCTCTTTTTTTGTGTTTTTTTGGTCATGTTTTTTGTTTAGTTTTGTTGCAGTTTGTTTTACTTCTATGTGTTATTTTTGTTGTTTTTGTTGTTGTGTGTTTGTCTCAAGTATGTGTGCATTGTGTGTGTCTTTTTTTATCCATTACTTTTAAGCATTTTATATATCTATATATACATGATATACATATCCAATGAAATCATCTCGCAATTCACAGTGCTCGAAACATCTCTATATTATATTTTGTTCTTAGTTTGTTTTTATAATAATAATATCAATATATCTTTTTTTATAATGATTCTTTTTGAACATATTATCTGGGGTTTTTTATATATATTTTTAACCCAGTCCTGTAATTGGCATTTTTTCCTGCTGTTGGATGTGGATTATAAATAAATATATCAATAAATAAATAAATAAACAAAGATGATGACCAAAAACTGTTTATTTAACTTCTCCAGCATGTGTCCAGCCTGAAAATCCGATGAGTATATCAAGAGCAAGAGCAGTAGTCAATACTATTGATCAGAAATACCGTTTCCATATGTGTCACAATCCGCAAACAGATGTAGGCCTAGGTCATTCTTATACTGCAAACTATGCAGTTTTAACATTGACAAAATGACAATATAAACACACACAACACACACACACATGACACACGATCGAATCGACCAGGAAATACTGTTACCTGTTGGACAGCACGTTCAGTGTACTTGGTAACAATATCCGACATTTTTATGACTGTTATTTCACCTCACAGATCTCAAGAAATAGCGATGGACACGACAAACACGACGAATCCAGCTAAAACATGTGAAATCTGACACGTTCCGTTCCTCCAGCTCCAAGCAGATGATGCAAGTTGTGCACTCTGTGCGAAACACATGTCGCGTGACCTTTGACCCGTACTTGTTCAACACGCGTTAAACGAATACACCGAATATAAGTACTTCAATACAAAATTCGGAATCGAATACTATCGTCTTGTGTCATTTCTCGATGTGTGACAAAATGATCAGTGTTATTAATTTTCTTGAGAGTAATCATTGGATATTATAATCATCATCAGTTTCTCAACTCTGTGTGTATCTAGTGACCCATTTAATAGATTTAGGAAGAATTGCTAGGAAACGTGTAACCCGTTACAAGTGGCCCACGTTGGATATGTACAGCGCCCTCGCCGGCTCGGTGCGGTAATAGTGTAAAGGCGGATTTTTTTTCTTCACAAGACTGAGTAATAGACCATTTTCTTGTTGCGGCCATCTTGATATTTCCCGTTCAAATCAACGTAACCAAAGCGAGGCTGGAAGGAAAACTAGTCTGGTTCCCCTTTCGCACCAAAAAATTATCATTCAGTACTTTTATTGGATACAGGGAACATGACTGAAATGATGACAGCATGATAAAGGTTTATATATACCTATCATGCTGCCACAATTCAGTCATGTTCTTTGTGTCCAACAACAGTACTGAATGATAATGTTTTCGTGCAAAAAGGAACCAGCTTATTTTTCCTTCCAGCCTCGCTTTGGTTACGTTGACATGATTTGAATGGGGAAAATCCAAATGGCCGTAACACGATAATGGTCTATAGACGCATTTAAAAAAGGTACCGAAACCGAGGGCCTCAGTGCTCTTATTTTGTGGTCCCAAATGTCCTGCAGTGGCTCAGCTGCTTTGAGCATCGCCTTGGATGCTCATAAAACTCGTCGATAAAAGACCGGCTATCAGTAGCTCGCGTAGGTGGGGGGGGGGGGGGGGGGGGGGGGGGGGGGGGATTGAACCCCCTCCCGTTCAGCCACTGACTAATGTTATGATACTAATAAAAATGGGCCCAAAATAACACATTGAATGATAAACTTCCATACTTTATTATCAAAATTGCATGCCTTAGAATGCAGGAGAAAGCATCGTGGATTTCAGAGTCGGGAATATCCGACTCCATGAAATATGGACTCATTGGTAGTATTGCGCATGCGTAAGTACGATAAATTGTTATTTTTAGGATCATATATGGGAGAGTGACCTGTCACGTGTAAGGGATTAACCAATAATAGGGAAAGGAGTCCGATTTTCATAGGAGTTGGATTTTTATATTTATGACACCTGCACGCCTTCACTCAACCCCCCCCCCCCCGCTTCATATCAACCCCCTCCCCCGTTTCCTGAAAGCTAGATCCGCCCCTGCCCATTTCTTAATTAGAGGCTATTAGAACAAAAGACAAACGTAACAATGAAAACCTGGAGGCAATTCAGTTGTTAATCAATCTTTTATTTCATTAGAATGTGAATTCCAGGAACCGGGAATCGGGAACTACCCACTAGTAATAATATCATTCATAATGACAAACTTCAAACAAATAAAATAAAGTGATACTTGATTTTAATAAGACCAGCTCATGAAAACAAAATCACTTATTATATATCAGAATTAATCCATTACCACCTTGAACGTAAACTTAATGTTATGCGTGTACGAATTTGCATCTTTGCGTTCTTCCAGCGCAGAGTACAGACGTTTGTGTGTGTAATTCCCGCACCATTAGTTTTTATCCAACGCCTGAACAAATCCCCGTCACCTGATTGGTGGGTCGTTGATCACATGTCATTGAATTACTCGCCCCAACCCAGTGAGCCCACGGCCCAGCCGCACCGCAAAAATATAAGTTCTAGGCATATTCAACGGTAAATAGAAGTTCCATTGCACGGTCACACTATGGATGGCTCTGCCCTGACCAATCAGATGACGAGGATTTATTCAGGCGCTATAAATGTTTCACATTCGTGCAATGGAAAGAATAATTTCATTTGGTGATGGAAGGTTCAATGCACTCGGCTTCGCCTCGTGGAATTATTCTTACCATTGCACCCATAAACATTCATTATTTTGTATATCCAGGTAAAGAAATTGACCTTGGAGACATTATAATACCTACGACGTCTGCATCAATTTTTCTTATTACAGTAAACTTGGACTGTGAGAATAGTTTATTAGATGTACAACGTTGATTATAGATTTGTGATTAATACCTCTATAATAAATATGTACATTGCTGATAATACTGAATATTCTAATACAGACCGAATTGAAATTGAGAAAGTACAAGTTCTAAGTATGGAATGACTGAAACATGATAAACATTTATTGCACGACATTTCGCCTAATTGTAAATCTTTGTACAGGTTAAGTGATTGTGATCACTCGGGGAAGAGCATGTACATTTCACACACTTATAATTGAAAATAAATCGTAAAAGCCCTTGTTCGCTAAAACAATTAAACTTTGTCAGTGGCATGTGACAAAAAAGAGTAAAATTTAACAACCTGGAAAATGTTATTGAGCGGGTTCGCAGGGGAATCTACCACATTCCGTTTCTGAGCTTTGTACAATGAATCAAAGCCAAGAAGCTAACGAATTCTGATTTGTGAAAGGTAACCTCTAGGCATAGCTTTGAACTAAGCACATTTTCTTCTTACTCATTATCTACAATGTAAGAAACATGCAGATAGAATTGTACATCTTTTCTCATTTATCTTCACCACGTGGAGATGATTGAACTCATGATTATTTACTCATGAATTTAAAAGCGAAAAAAAAAGGGTCTCATGAATGAAAGCGAAAAAAGAAAGGCCTAGCTATGCCATGGAACGTCCACTATACTTGCATTACTTAAAGTCCTTATGTAAAAGGTCCAACAATTTTAAAGGGTAGTTTCAGTGCTAGTATGCCGAATAAAGTCTCATTTTACCTTCAAACAGGCCAAAGTAATTCGCAAGAAAATCGAAACTCTCAGGCCTTATCATAAAGTGAGTAAATATGATCATCTTTACAAAGTACATCCATTACACGACCACTCTGATTACACAAAGCCAAGTTTCAAGTATTAAGAATACCCAGACCCATTGATTATACATCATGCATCTCTTCGATCACTTCCTATATAAATACCAAAAGAAATTGGTTACTTTTTTTCATAATAAAGTAGTGTTGTGTGATCGCCAATACACGCACGAAAATAATACGATAAGAAACATTTTTTCATGACATTTAAAAGAAAAGCACCTTAATAATTTCGTAATAAAATGTACTCTGAATACAACTCGACAAAAGCGAAGAAAGGTTAATGTATATATGCTATAAAGGAAACTTTTTGTTATAATTTTTGCAATTTTAGGAATAAGCCTTCCAATACATATTAACTGTGTTTTTTATGTACATTTTAACTCTGTGATCTGATTTTTCAAAAAAAAAAATTCTTTGGGCGTTGACTCAGAAGGAGAAGAATTTGATGCAGTGGTTGGTGGCATCTGCTACGGCGACTTTGCAGTCTCCTGCCATGGCAACACTCTCCGGATGTCGAAGGTCATCAATGGGATCATCAATCCGCCTGAGAAACCGACCATTGATATCAAACATGAGCAAGCAGTGGTTACCAACGTCAGCTACCAGGATGTTACCCTCGCAGTCCACCGCCAGGCCACTGGGTGACCGAAACTCTCCGTCCATTTTACCGCGGACGCCGAATGCCCGTTCCAATCGACCGGACATCTCAAAGACGTGGACGGTGTTGTTGGACGAGTCTGTAACTACCAGATCATCGTTCTTAGTGACGGCAATGTGCTTGGGGTGACGGAAGGCGTTTTCTGTGGATCCGTAGCGACCTAATAGTCTCAGCGGGGTGCCGTAGCGATCGTAAGACCTGACGACCCTGGCGTAGACGTCTACCACGTGGATCTGGCCGTCGCTTGTGACTGCAGCCCCGCCCGGCATGCCCAGGTCGTGCTTACCGACCTGACGGAGCAGCCTGCCTTGTAGATCACACACCAAGACCTGTTTGTTGTTGATGTCGGAGATGACCAGCCTCTCGCTGCCGTCCATGCTCAGGTGCCGCGTGATGCCCACGAAGGTCGGCGTGAACTTCTTGCTGAGGTTCTTCACCACAAGCTTGCGGAGGAACTTGCCGTCCATGTCGAAGACCTGGATCCGGTTCTTGCAGTCCGCGACAAAGACCTGCTCCGTGTCGCCGCTGACGGCAACCCCGAGGGGCTTATAGAGCTGTCCCTCCGCGTTCCCCTTGACCCCAAACTGGTGGACGAGTCCGACCAGGACCGAAGATATCGACTCGTTGGTCTCAAACTTCCTGTCCAGGAACTCCATTAATGACACCACCAGCATGCTGTCCGGTAGAGTTTGGATACCGGCCTGTGGCACCGGTACCGAATCTCTGCAGATGGGACATTGGAGGTTCTTGGCCCGGATGGGGCGAGCATTGAACCACTTGAAGAGACATCGGGTGCAGAATGTATGCTGACAGGGAAGCTGTTTGGGTTTCAAAAAGCGCCCCAAGCACAAGGGACAGGTCAGGAAGACGTCTCGAAGCTCTGTTGATAGCTGCACAGCGCTGTAGGAAGTCATGGTTGTCTACCTTCTCTAAAAAGGAGGAAACAATAAGAGAGACCAAAAAAAATTAGTTAGAATCGACCAGTCATAACGTAAAGTATCCCAACCTCTTCAGTACAGTCTAAAAACAGATTGGTTAGCATCATTGGTTGTAATAACCAACTATTGGTTAATATGTGTCCAACCAATCGATTGGTTGGACACATATTAACCAATTGTTGGTTATTTCAACCATTGGTTATGTTAACCAATGTTGTTTTTAAACAAACATGGCCAGTAATGACAGGAACATGTCTCCTGTTCATGTACTGGCACTGAAATGCGAATCAGACGCTTTTTCATTAAATAATGTTTGTTTGCAGTTGACTCACTGTTGAAACAAATTAACAATTCCGTGTCAGATACGTCATGAACGTGTTCCTCACAATGCATCATGTCTCCCTCAATAAATTAAGTCGACACGTTTAAATCATGCGCCAGTGTTTCCATGTTGTTTCGAATGTCGCCGAGACAAATCATTTTCCAATCCGGTGCACTTTTTCCGCGGATCGATTCGAAATCTTATACTCAGCGGATAATAGGCGCACTTGGCTTGATCCTCCTGTTCATTAGCCGTATCCATCTCCTCCCGGGGCTTGTGAGCACATCCAGGGACAGACCAGGTGTTTAACTCGTCCGGTAATCAGATCTACGACACGACTAGCGTTTCGTCCCTTTGGGGCGAATCTCGATCAGGTCTTGGCCCGGATTGTGATGTGCATTGCGCAGCCATTTCTATCTACGGCGATCTCTCTCTCTCTCTTAGGAATGTAGTCAAGGGTGATGACTGCGCATGGCCTACATTTGTTGTGGGCATTCTAAGTGTAAGTGTATGCTCATTACGAAGAAGTTGGCCTGGATCGGAAGTAAACGAGTTGGTGTGCAGACATCCTTCATCCATCGGTATTATCCATTATCATGATTTCGCCAACAACCTGACACAAACACTCACAGAAATGGGCCAAGATTCCGATGTTTTGTCGTTTCCCTTCATCTTCCCGACTATAAATTATTTCTTGTTTATATATCATTTAAGGTTTTGTAACTATTCCTTTCCAGCCTTATTTACTTTTCAGTTGCGAAAAAAATCCCCGTCTTCTCCACTTAAAATCACAATATATACCATGGTCTATGCATCTCCTTCGATCTGCCGGTTCGTGTATAGATTCGAGTCGACGTTTGGATAAAGCTTGCGTGGGCATGTGACTAAGCATACATTGAGTGCAATCAACGAGACCTTTTTTAACTGATCAACCAGACGGTAGGCCTTGACGCTGCCAATTAAGCCCGAGCACAGTACTTTTTGAGCAAATACATTTAGGGCCAAAGAGGGGAGATTCCGTTTTAGAATGAAGTAAATCAATTTGACCTATCCACTAATCCAGCCATGATATAGCTGTAACCTGATTCCATGAAAGATGAGCTCCGTACCAAGTCAAGAGTCGTCATCGGTGATTCAGAGCGCTTTCCTGTGTTTTCCTTGTCTTAGATTTCGTCCGAGTAGGGGATTCAGGCTGCCCAAAGAATAATGAACAGTAAATTCTCAGCAGGAATAGACTAAGTCAAAACGGCAAGGTGATTTTCGTCCGTACCCGTCTCATTCTGTCTCTTCTTAATGTCCGCGAAAATAAAATGTGGGAACGGAACATGGATGACTATTAGCATCTTAACATTGTGCAGGTAAACAGGCTCTAGTGATATCTAAGAGAGAGCAGGCCGCTGTATTAAAGTAACAACCAGCCTGTAGCCGGATTCAAAGTAAGAACCAGACTTTCGTTGATATCAAATTTAGAACCATGAGCCTGTAGCCCGTTAAAGGTAAGAACATACCTGTAGCCGGTATCGTTGAAGTAAGAACCGGCCTTATTAGCCGGTATCAAAGAAAGAATAGGCCTTTCGCTGCATGGTATTTAAGTAAAAACCGGCCACAGGCCTTAAACCGATATCAAAGCAAGAACCGACCTGTAGCCAGTATCAAAGTAAGAACCACCACGTAGCCACACCACGTAGCCAGTATCAAAGTAAGAACCACCATGCAGCCATTATCAAAGTAAGAACTACCATGTAGCCATTATCAAAGTAAAACCAATCATGTAGCCAGTATCAAAATAAGGACCACCCTGCAGGATCCAAGTAAGAACCTGCCTGTAGCCATGCAGGATCCAAGTAGGAACCTGCATGCCTGTGGCCGATATCAAAGTAAAAACCACCATTAGCCAGGATCCCAAGTAGGAACCTGCCTGTACCCGATATCAAAGTAAGAACCACCATGTAGCCAGTGTCCAAGTAGGAACCACCATGTAGCCAGGATCACAAGTAGGAACCAGCCTGTAGCCAGGATCCAATGGAACCAGCCTGTAGCTGATATCAAAGTAAGAACCACCATGAAGCCATAGTATCAAAGTAGGAACCAGCCCGTAGCCGATATCAAATTAAAAACCGACTAAAACCACTTTCAAAGTAAGAACCAACTAGCAGCCGGTAAGTACCAACCTACTACTGCAGCCGTTATCGAAGTAAAAACCTGCCCGTAGCCGGTATTTAGGTGAGAACCAACTTGTTGTCGGTATCAAAGTTAGAACCAGCCCGTAGCCGATATCAAAGTAAGAACCAGCACGTATAGCCAGTATCAAAGTAAGAACCACCATGTATAGCCAGTATCAAAGCCGGTATCCAAGTTACAAGAACTCCAAAGTTGATAAAGTTAAATTGTAGGCATTTGACGTTACTGGGTCAAAACACATTGTCAACTTTTTTTCACCAATTTCTGGCAGAGCAAGCAGGTGGCGGTAAAAGGAAGGGAATGTCTGCAAGTTTGAAGCAGCCAATTTTCTGTGCATCAGTGCATCTCTCCTAAATCGTTCCTTGAACCTGCAATAAGGCTGCGCCTCTTTATAGCATCCAGCCTCTGCGCTTTTCTTTGTAAATGAATTGAATGAGTTTTTCTCCTTTTTTTGTATTGGTAAGGAGGAGCTGCAGGCAAGTATCCCATGGACTTCCATCCTGGCAATAATTGAAATTGATCGCAGTATTGAGATGCAGCCTTGTGTTACTCATTCCCTTCACGAACGAAGCCATGCAAAAGAAAGAATAAGAAACAATCCATTTTCACCGGCAGAAGCACATGAAAGAAAATTTAACACCCTGGAGGATCTTTCCAAAAATTTCAAAGCCAAAAAAAAGGAAGAAAATCTAATTAATCCAACTCTAAAATCAAAGGTATGATTTCAATCAGCTAAGAACAAGTTTCAACACGAGCGAATGTGAGCTGTACATTGCCGCAAACTATACTAGTTCCGTTCCACGCACTAAAATTAAAAAGAGAGAAAAGTGTGCCAATAGGGATACACCCTGCTGACAAAATACCATCAACAAAGTAAACCCGAGGAAAAGGGATCCCAAGCACAAAATCAATAACAGTTTCTCATATACCGAGTGTAGCCTCTACTCTTCACTGGGTTCTCGGTCGGCAAAACGTGCAGCGCCCACAGCGATTTGGTTATTGAGAATGCGTTATTAACCGAGCTTACGGGTCAACTCGCGCCCCGGGGTCCACAATGAAGCTGCGGCCGGCTCGACATTTTCGTAAATGGCAAGAGGTGGTATGGGTCTATATAATAAACGAGATTTTGGAGATTGGCGGATTGGCGAATCGGAGGAATTCGGTGCTGATAAACATCGGATTGTATTCTTGTATGTTTTTAAAGAATTATAGCAAAGAGTACTGAGACCCACTGATGAACTAGTCATTTGGGTATAATTTCTGTTACCGCATATGGTACATTAGGGAGACATTCCCGTTGACTTGTGCACCAAAAAAAATCAAACTTTAATTACCCCTAACCACAACTTTACCTTATATCCTATACCCCTACGAAACTTGGTAAATATGGGGTTTGCATAATGACGAATCGATTAAGCCTATTTTGCGACGGTAAAATTGTACCTAGAAATATGAGTTGGAACATTAGAGAGACACTGAAATGTCTCATTAAGTGGCCTCGTGTCCCAAAGGTATACTTTTTGATGATGACGTGTCTCCCTAAGGATGCCGGTACATTTTGTGATGATAACTGCAAATGCAAGTCTTGAGATAATTACGTTCATGCATATTATGGAAAAAAAGTGACGAATCTTGTTAAATTATTTGTCTCAACCAAGTTTGAAATATTTGAAGAATAGAACAACATTTTTATGCATCAATCGCAAACAACAAATCAATCGCTGTGTCTTTTTGTGGGTCAATCATGTTACGTCTGCAAAAACTTTTCTTTCGTGCCTTTGCGTATGTACCTAAAGCAAACAAAATCAAAAGGAATACAAATCCAACCCGCAATTTTCACATCTAACGTTAACGACACCAGACAAGTTTAAATCAAGTGCCGAAACTCCTCACTCGAAGTGCCGCAAGCAATCTTCACAAAACCGGAGAAAAATATATATTACTTGAAAATGTACTCCCAAGTTAACTCCCCAATAACCTGGAATGCTCCCGCGTCTCAGTAGAAGTCAAGAGTACAAATTGTTTATCTGTTTATCACTCAGGTGCTTTGACGGCAGATCGAGGGGGTTAGATGGTAATGAAGATATTGGATCGCAGAGGGTAATCTTATAAATCAAATCAAAACTTCATCAGTCAAAAAAGCGGGGATAGGAAATCGAGTTAAGTGCGGATGAGGGGAGCGCCGCGGTGCGAAAATGTTAGCTCCGAGTAATTGCGCCGGCGTGGCTCAGCCAAAGAAAAACCTCGAGATGGCCGGTTAAGAAATTGAAGTGGAGAGTAATATTAGCGATGTCGCTGCCGATATCAAGATCTAATGGAATTGCATTCGCAGTTGGCATAAATATTTATCAGAGTGTAAACATGGCTGCTTCTGTCTAGTGGCTGACGCAAATAAAATATGATAAAGAGTAAAAAGCTATAACTGTGTACATTTATGACGTGTTGATATATACATTGATGAAGCAAACTCTGTGATATATCCAAAAAG